TTTTCTTATTCGCATTTCAAGCTTATTGCTTAACGCATATTAGCTTAGTGTTCTAAATGCACTTCCACAGTTATTAATTAAGAACTTTCGATGCCAATACCAATACAAATTTGTATATTGTGTGGCAAGCACAATGATACTCTATGCCCAGGGAAGTCGAGAAAATTTCCCTCGACCGTGCGTTTCCTGAATAGGATATGAAGCCCCTATAAATACACCTGGAATCCCTGATATCGCATGATGATTTTTGAACCTATTCAAAAACTAGCCGATCCACGTGGGTCCCAGAACATGGCAGGTTGTATCCAGTGTGGTCCTGGGCACCGAAAATGACTACAATTGAACTAGTTTTTGAATTCTCATGTGATTTGATGTGTAACATGATGGGTTTCAGGTCGGATTTAGTCTCATGGCTCATAATCATAAGCATTTTATTGGACCATACCGTATGCGTGAGCGTGATAATGTTTGCCCATTGAGCAATTTCAAAATTAAAAAAAAATGTCAAAAATTTCGTTTTCGAGTTTTTTTTATTTATTCAAAGGGGGGATATTTCTCAGAGTCTTAAATATTGTTAATCATCGATCGAGTTTCCACTTGCTGCAATTACGGTCTCCACATGCTTCCGGAATGCACGGCAGATTCTAATAATGTAGTTTGGATTCATTTCTCTCCAGGTACGGGTCAATGTTTGTCTGAGGCTTGCTGTACTCGGGTGGCGTTTAGAACAGGCCTTGGCCTTCATGACGCGCCATATTGAGTAATCCAGCGGATTAAGATCAGGGCTGGATGGCGGCCACATATCCTTCGCCCAGAACGGAAGATGTTCCTGCAACCACTTCTGAGTGTGGTTCGAGGTGTGGCACGGAGCCCCATCTTGTTGAAATACAACATTTGGCTTAGGACCCTACTTTTTCTTTGATCCACGGAAGAACATACTTACTTAAAATCCCGATTTTTTTTCTTCTTTATTTTAGAGATTTTTAGCCTTAGGCTAGTTCATCTCTTACTTTAAAATCCCGATGTAGAACTCCGTGTTGACCTTGTCGCCTTCTGGAATGAACACCGGGTCCATTTTTTTGCCATCGGAAGCCACCAATCCAAACACCATAACGCTAGCAGGATGCTTGGTGAGATACACGTTCTTGTGCTCGTCGGCCACGTCTTTTACCGGAAGAGAACAAATATACCGGTCGGTTCTGGAATTTGATACGGGATCGACGGTAAACAAGCTCTCGTCGGTGAACAGGATTACCGGATTTTTTCGCTTAAGGAAGTTCAAGATTTTCTTGCATCGTTCGACTCGTAGCTCCCGGATGCGGTTGGTAATCATGTGAGTTTTTTTTCCGTGCCCTCGACTTCGCCCCGCAATCTTCCTTTACGATCTTCCGTGCCGTAAAGTCACTGATTCCGTGTTTCTTTGCCATTTTCCTTATTGAACGCACTGGATTCACCCGAATCTTCCTTTTGATAGCAGCGATAACCCTCGGAACCCGAGCTGACCTCGGACGACCTTAAGCCACCTTCGCGGATAGTTGTCCTTTCTTTTCTCGGTCTAAAACACTTTTGACGGTCCACCGGGACACTCCCACGGCGATTGTAATGTCTTTTTGCGACATATGCGCGTGGAACAAATCACGAATACGCTGCCACTTCGTCATGGTGCAACTGTCAAACTAAGTAAATCATTTTCTTTTATACACAGCCTACTACGGTATGAGATACAGGTTACGTGCATGCAAAGAAAATCAAGGCATTGTATGCACAGGTGAATCGGGAACCTTATTTGTACGATGGTGCAAACACTAGGGGCTAGACAGCTTTCAAACATGAGTATTTTTTTTAGCAAATCTTGAGTAACTCTGAGTTACTCCCGTTGCTCAATGAAGAAAATAGTTGACAACATGATTTTTTTTTATCGCTGCAACTCAGTTGAACAGGTTTCTCTCTTTATTTACATATTGTTGGTTCTGCTCAAGCAAAAAAAAAAAACAGAATTGTTCTTGGTGATCTGGGAATAAGAATACGGGTTTTAATCAGGGCATAACTTAGTGATGATATAAGTTATAACACTATCCTTCTCGTTACTACCGAATTTCCAAATCATTCCTTTGAATCCATATTATATTTTCAGCTTGCACCATGAAAAAAAAAAGTTTTACCAAGAGGCTTGAACAAAGGTGGGCCATTACCTTCTAGCTCAGCAGTGGAAAACGGTTGGGGTTTTAAACTCCCGACACCAATGGATGAAACAGTTTCACGGTAAACAAAGGGTTTATAAGGGTAATTCATGCACCAAGCACAATGTCCATTGGGACTTCAATCAGACAATCCAGCCGGTATCCAATAGGAGGTGTTTGTTTCGTATCAACTAACTAAGCACTCGCTACGGTTAAATAATACATAACACTTTATTTAACACAGCAAAACATACAATGAAAGGTTTATTAAGCCTATCAATAATTTGTATTTCACTTAAACTAGGAACAACGTAACGGATTAAAATGCCATCGTAAGTCTCCTACTCGTGTAATACAGTGACCTGGTTGAGGTGGACTGATCCCTTTACCCGCACGATCGTTGTAGGAAGGTCAGTCCTCCGTCGATGCGATAATTTCTTTGCGCTTCTGAGAGTGGGTGATATTCACACCGCTCTTATCACTTACCTGGTCCGGTCATCCTGATCACTCCTGTGTAATCGGTGGCAATCGATGACGATGATGACACTGCTGATGGCATGATGCTGGCTTCACTGATACGTAGTGGGAGAGAGCTAATCCAATCGTACTGCACAATATCGTCTAATCAGTATGAGAGTCTTGATCTACCGAGCTGGTGTGTTGGACAATAAATCTGTTCATAATGGCTGTTTGTAAATATGACAGTATGGAAAAGGTAAAATTGAGGCTACTTTGTTATTTTTGAGCAAATACGAGTATCTCACAGTTACTCAATGTAAATATATTAGCTCAGAGTATAGCTGACTTGCCCCTAGTGCAAACATTATCACGCATACGGTAATATCTTTCACTTGGTGATTGTTGCGTCCGATCCGGTTTAGTGGTTGCTGAGAAACACACCGGTCTTTATTTTGTCAAATACCAATCGACTCACCTCGACGAGCTCGAAAAATGTCTGTGTGACGAAATATTTTGCCTGACGTTTTTTGGCAACCATTGCTCCAGTGGCCAGTTTTTCAAATTCTTGAACTTCTCGAGACCTCAGATTCCGAAAAATATAATATATCTAATATGGCGTAATTGCCAAGATCTCAGATTAAAAATAAAATCATCGCTTGGACATAATTTTAAGATATTCTAGAGATAATTCTTTAGAAAATCTGTTCCTGTAACGCCTGGTAGATTACCTTTTCGTGGTGCGTTACTGGTTCCATTTTTGTAATCGGTCTACTGGTTCCGGAGATATGGCTGGAACATGTTCTAGAGTGTACCGAATCCAAAACGAATCCTGAAACGAATTAAAACTATCAAGTGAAATTTAAAATCACATGCTAATTTAAAAACCAGTTCTATGGTAGTCATTTGGAGTACTCAAGATAGCAGAGTCAGATCGATAGGAGTTTTTTTATTGGAGTTTCCATTAGTAAGAAGGGTCAGATTATAGGTGGACTAATTGAGGTTATTCTTTTTAATTATGGGACTTTCAAATTATCCTCTTGAATCCGGACATTAAACAAAATAAGATCTTATTTCAATAATATCCTGCACATTGAAATTCCTCCGCATTTATCAAGTATGTCATGCTTTAAGGGATTTTAAAACCTATGACAAGTAATGCTGGAAATCCCGTTTCAATATACATGAAATATCGTGTAAATTTACGCTAAATCTAGTTTTAACCACGTATCGCAGATGTTTACATGAATTTTCAAAACGGTGTAGAGTTAAAAGAAAACATTTATTGAAACCTCCTTGGATCTATTGTCATTCAGCTAACTAGGATTACAAGCAGTGGTGGCACGAGTACTGGAGTTCAACGTTTTTTCCTTAACATTTGATACTTTGCGCAATGACCATACAGAAGACGCACAAACACAAACTGGCAAGCGGAAAAATGTCATGACATTTCTAAACTGTTGATTTGACTGCAGGCGACAGAACATTTGCGCACAATGAAGCAGACATGACCAGCGACATAAATTTATGGCATGTAGAATTTTGCTGATTTCTGGCTAATTATAGCATTTATTTAATATTTACTGCATGGAATTATAAATTAAGAACGAATACTAACCACTCATAAGCTTAGATGTTAAAATTATGCGTAAATGAGGGAGTTAATAATTTACTGTGACACGAAAGCTTGCAGCTATAATGGAATTTTAATAAACTGTTTGAAAAGTAATGCACTACGACATTTTTCCTATTCTCTATGACCGCCGTTTGTTTGTATTGTAGAAATACATGACCACCCGTGTGCTGGCGGTTTTGTTTTGCTCTGGGCGATGGTTTTGCAAAAAATGTACTGTTGCCACCTCTGATTACAAGTTTACAGTTGCCGAAAGTGTATTTGAATTTCATTCGGTTGAGATTTAATGCCATCTGTCTATCGTTCATTCAATGCTTATCGCACGTACGCCAAACGTTCGTATGTCTAACGTTGTTATGCCTAATGGGGAAAATCCTCATCCAATTTGTCAAGTTGATTTCCTTCCTAAATTTATCTCTAATCACAAATGTAAGGTAACGTAAGTCATACAATAAGATTTCATTTATAGCCATAAGTCAATTTCCGCTAAATTTGCACTTAATTTGTCGATAGTAGGTAATGCTCGTATTCACTCTCATACATGCTTCTTCATGAAGATAGTTCACTTATCTCCACAAGACACCCACAGTCCAAGAGATTTACATTCATCCAACCTTCCATCTGCTGTTTCATTCAAAAATCCCTTTTTTTTAGTCGCTATTTTTCCGTTTTGATTCGTTTCAATCCCTCCTGCTTCGGAACCACAGCTAACTCTATCCTCTACTTTCCAGGGCTTGAAGTCCTCGGTTGGCCAACTGGTGAGCGCCCTTGCCTCGGTGCAGGTGGACTTTACCTCCTCGGACATCGGCACCCGTCCGGATACGGTTCAGAATGACGGTATAGCCGGCCGAGATCGCAAGCCAGGGCGCGAACTAAGTGATTTGCGTGATATTATAGGTATCCCGCTCAAGGACGACCACAGTCAGGAACCAGCTGCGTTGCAACCGTCCCGACAGCACCGTGGAGGAATTCCCGGTTACACGAACGGCAAGAGCATGGTCTACGCGGATGCCACCTCGCTGGAGATTGGAATGTACGTCCTGTTGGCAGCGTTCTGTTTGGCGATCGGAGTATTTGTGATTTCCTGTGTGGTTTACGCGTCCAAGTTCCGACCGGTGACGATCGATGTTACGGGAGAGGCAAGTGTTCGGGACGGCATGGGAAATGCCTCGGTACTGGGTGGAAAGGGTACGGAATCGACTATGAATGCTCACGATTGGGTGTGGCTTGGCCGTGCAACGATGGATCGTTCGACCAATGGGCATGACTTGAGTGGAAATCAAAGAGGTAGTTGGCGTAGATTTGATTCTGTATTTGTTTCTCATGGACGATCTTCTGTTTTGTAGATTCACGAATGCACATAATCAATAATCCGATGAGTTCAAAGTACGGTGATGCTGAAGAGAGTGTTGTCCAGGTAAACAGCTTCGACAATCCTAATCACATTCAGCTGCCATCGAGTGCCGTTGGTGAAGGACAAAATGTTGCTGTGAACTCTTGTACTTACAACAAACGGGACCGCAGAAGTCGAGTTGTGAAGTGAGATCTAATCTAATAGGTTCCGTTAGAACGCTTCAAGCATATTAACCATTTTCTTTATTTCAGTGAGGACGAGAAGGCTCCCCCTCTTCCACCACATGGAATTCCAATTATCGATGGAGTTGACTATCGTCCACCAGTTCCCCCGCATAGGAATATGGGAGTAACAGCCAGCGTACCTAATCGGGTATGACGCACTTATCTTCGAAGTACGATCAAACATATCTCAATGAGCTTCGTTTTTTTTTTCAGTCCCAAGAACCAATCATCCAAATGAGAAACCCAAGGCCACGTGTCCATCCCCGTTTCCTTCGTAACAGCAGCTGTTCTACCACGAATCCGGCATTCGAAATTCAGCTACATGGCAATCAACCACCGCGTAATTTGAACTTCACTCAGCAGCAGATAAACGCAGCGCTGTTTAACAACAGTATTCCTCAGTATTCGGTGCAGCCGATGGTACGGCATTCCACGAAGTCTCCACATTCATTCGAGAACATGGGATTCTCGGTGGTGCCACAGCAGCATCAACTATCACACCAACCTGCTGCGATAGTAGCACCCTCCATCAGCAGAAATCAAGAAGATCTGCACATGGCCGAACGCTTAGTGCAGCAGTGTGCGCAAAAGTCAGCATTCAAGTTCGACACCATCAACAATCAGTCCAGTGGAAGGAGTAAGGCGACGGTGGTCGCCATCGGCAATGGAAATCCCATTGCTGGCAGTAGTATTAAAGAAACTTTACCGGTCACGGTGGAAACGACCGCTGAAATCGCTCCCATGCCAGTGGCAGAGAAGCGACGCTCTCGAGGCGAAGAATGTGCCAGCGGTGTTAAAACGCTCGAGTCCAGCTCGGACGACAATGGGGGCTTTATGACACCACCCGATGAACAGCATCAACCGCAGCAGCAGAACAATCAGTCCAAAATTCCAAAACCGCCGCAGCCGCTGAAACACAACAAACCGACGGTCGTTGGCAATCCAATGTTCGCCAACACTCCGGACAGCGAGCTCGGACCAGGTGAGAGCCTCGGGCTGGACGATCTAGATATGGATTACGAACAAATTATGCACTATTTCGATAATTTGAAGGTGAGCATTCATTAAAGCATTCTTGAGGTGTTTGAAGTTCACCCAACACCATCTATTTTTTTTTTCAGGAATCGAATGCCTGAGTTCAAGAGATCATTGCAAAGATACGCGACATATTATCTACGTTTCAACAGCAGTACCGGAACGTGGCGATATCACCCGCCAACGGTCCGACTTGCATCCCCGGGATCAACGACCCCAACTTTGAACATTTTTTTGAACATTTGAGTGAGTCGTACGCCTAAGTGAAGAGCAGCCGTGCGTCGTTCATCGTTCCTGTCGTTCTACCTCCGTTCATCATGGTCAGCGAAGGCTGACCCACAACTGTAATCGAGGGAGTTGGCTTCATTTCGAAGATTTCTGGATGACAGTTCTGTATTATAAATTGATCTCATTATTTCGTTACTTTATCCCCGTGACAAACCGTACCCAGTGGAACGTGTTTGAATATGTTGAAACGAAAAAGAAAGCGTCTTTGCAGTGATCGCAAAATCTGAAACAAACTTGAATAACTGAAAAAGAAAACAAACAAAGCATCTAGTTGAGATTTGTAGGTATAGACAAACAAAGAAAATCGTACTTCCATTCATGAAATGAGAAATACATTGTGTATAGTACCCCGGAACACTACTAGAGAAGAAGGGTTAATGAAAATGAGAACATGGGTGGACAAACTGATACAAATACTCGTATGATTGTGTTTTGTGGCGTAATCGTAAGCAAAATTTAATGAAATTGTAAGGTAACTTTGAACTGCAACACAATAACTCTGGCTTAATCATATTGTAAAATTAAAGCTGCAAGCGCTAATCACGCTCTCCGTTTTTCACAAATTCCAGCGTGAATTGGAAAATGTTTGATATCTAATAATCTCTGAAAGTGAACGTTCCTGGTCGTATAATTGGGGCTGCCAGCTAGTCCAGAATTTGAAAAAAAAACATTAAGGGAACATACACTGCTAGTATCGATTGACACGTTTTACAGACACAAACACGCATACACACGTACAAAGTACAGACAAATACACTTACTACCACACAGCCCACTTTACTCTCTATCTCACTCTCATGGATCGCAACATCATCACCTGTACTAGCACGCTTTGAGTGTTTCCCGTAGAAGTGACAAAACTGCTAGAACTCACATGTACGTACATTCATTACTTCATTCATACGGCTTAGAGTAATCCACGTTGAGATTCAGTCGGACCGAGAATAGTGGGACTCACTGTATTATAATTTATTGCAAAGAAACAGTAAATCAAATCAACATTCTAGTCATTCGTTTAAACAAATTTAAGGGTGAACAAACAGTAAACAAACAGAAATGATAATTATTGCAATTGGTACATATATACATACAATCGAAATGCAGTTGTTTAAAGCTAAGTTGAGTAACGGTGTATAGTATGTAAACTCATATACCTTATATATTATAATTAAAGCTTTAAAGAATCACAAATGAGTCGATTTATATATATCGCTAGTTCATGGCAAACCCGGCATCAATTGGCAACTGTTTTTTGAGAGTTCGTTAAAGCATTAAAATTATTAAACAAAAGGAACCTGCTTCATATTATATTGCAAGTGGACAATTAAAAGCAGAAGTAAGGAGGCATGAAATAAAAAAAAAACGATCCATATCACATCAGATTGATAAGATATTTTTATTACTTGTGTAAATAGGGTCCCAAATGGTGGCATAGCTGGAACATGATTTCAGAGAAGAAGAAGAAGAAAAAAAGAAAAATGTATCTATGTTAAATTGACTGTTTTTTGCGCTGAGACTATTTTGAAATTCAAATTCGAAGCAACTATCTGCCATATTAGACCAGTAATCTTCAGCCCCACTCACACACACATACACATACACATACAACAAATCTGTCTACACGGAAAATGATACCAAAAATTAGCTTGTTAAGGACTCGTTAGGCATAGTGACAGCAGCTAACAGGATTTCGTTCAAACAAAATTAAGAAATACTGAAACTCGGTGTTCATCGTGCGACATTGTAACGGAAAACAAAGGTAATGGAAAGTATAAGCATAACATATGTACCTATTAAAGCTTGAAGGGCTTGACTCTTCGAATGAGTTTGTGTTCAAATCAGTTGTAGGTTATGTTCTCCATATTGAGGTGACAATTATTGTAAAGGTCGACTTCCTGGAGTGAGGTACGTGAAAACATTCCCAGTCAGTAGAGCAGCCATGGACGTCCACATGGAAGTCGATAATTTTGAGCAGATGTATTGATTTCGCAATTGTTTGTTTTATTTTGTTTTAATATATATGTAACGCAAGAACCGTTATTTATGTTTGAAATGTACATGCCAATATTTTTCGTTTTAGATTTGAAATCATACGTAAGCAGCTCCGCTGAGACAAATCATTGAGGAAACACTATTGATAAATCTATATGAAATCTTCTATTTCCCTAAATACTGTTTTTTGCCATCGCTCCCTTCCTCTGTATTTTCGTCCTATCTCTAGTTAATAATATTTCTCTCGCAAACACATTCATACTCCAGTGAAATGGGAATCCGAAGAAACCGAACTACGTTTGTAAATTGTTTTTTTTTTTAAAGTCGACTACGGATGGTGACTGATTTTTTTTGCACTCCAGTTCAGGAAAGATTAACTTGATTGATCAAGTTTGAGTGTAAGATAAAATCACTTTCACTACAAATCAATCGATATTCTTCCGGTTTCCATTTTGCTACGCATTCTTCCAGTATAGTTAAACAACACAACCAAAACAAACGACCAGCTAAATGTATATTGTTTATGAATGAGCTTGATTATACACGTAACCCGCTGAAAAATACCAAATTAACGAAAAAATCGACAACAAATGAATGCATCAGTATATAGACAAATTTAAGCAGATAATACAAAAAAAATGCAAATATTTTGTATTCGATATAACGTTACAAAGGTATGATTTCTAGAACTATTTATACAACCAGAGAGCTAAACAAACGCAAGCAGCAAGGCAATGGTACAGTAGATGAATAGCAAAAGTTGAAAACCTGCAAAGAACCGCATGAAAGTTTACTCACCAGCAGTGTTTAGAATAGTCAAAAAGGGCAAAAGTGAATACACCTTTCCTCCGATAGCTAGCAAGTCGTTCGCAAAATTATCGGGAATAGTTACAAACAACATCCTCACGGTGAAGCCCAGAGAAGGAAGAAAGAATACAAAACGTTATATTATACAATACACTTATAGAACCTATATATAAAATTGCTGAAACAAAACCTGCTTGAGATTAAAAAAAAAACAACGTGAAGTCGAATCAATAATTATATTACACGCATACGCATATATTGCTGTTGTACGCTCCCAGGAAGCAAGAACCCAGTGTAAACTCTATACATGCGCATATATACATTCACCCGCAACCACAGCAGTACTAATAATCTCTAAATATCAAGTGAAAAATTCTGCAATCACTTGTTTTGTAACGTTTTATGTTTCTGTTACTTTATTTCTCTTCTTTCAGTATGAATTCTGCTCAATCTAATTTCCTTCGATTCATATTGTTATCCATATTGTTTTTACTCGTTGATTTCAAGTCAGTTTAATTTTTAATTTTGAACATAAGTTTACTCAAACATCAGCGCCATTTGGTTTCATCAGCTGCCATAAACAACACTTAAAACAATGCAAACAAAAATAAAATAAACGAAAACGCTTCAATAACTTGAAAGTGCTGCAAACAAACAAAAACTAGTAACATGAAACGGAATGGTAAATGTATCCTTTTAAAGGTGTAAAACTCCGAGATCCGATTCCCAGTTAGTGTGTAATCATTTTAGATTTCCCGAACACGTTTGAGCTCAATCGCGAAGCACGCGTTGAGAACAAGCAGTTTAAATCGGTTTTTTGTTGACTATTTATAATAATTATTTTGACACTGTTTTTGTTCCTTCGTCTTCAACTTCCAGCTGGGTTACAATTTCCAATCTTCCAGTTTTCCACAACACAATCTGTGAATGCTTGAATCTGTTGAACATTTTCTTGTTTATTTTTGAGCAATTTTATTTCCATAAGTGGATCCTCAGACGATTAATGTTAATTGTGAGAGTTTAAATAGATACAGTTACCACCGAACGAGAAAAAAAAAGATGTCGAAATAACCGGTTGAAAGGAAAGAAAATAATGCAAGCAGTTATTACAGTGTATACAGCAAACTAGCCAAGCAAAATTCATTCAAACCATGCAAGCAGCAAGTGTTATTATTCCCTTTTTAGAATGCAGCATTCACCTCGGCGTTGTAAACGGACAACAGCAAACGATATTCAAAACCATGCTCTAGAATAATTGTACGGAAAATCCTCAAACATAAGAAACAAACAAACAAAACAAACTGAGGCAAATAGAGGAAACAAAGCATATTAACTGATATGGGAAAAAAAATAAATAAAAAATACCGTGAAGGACATTAACGTTTGAAGCAAGCAAGAGAGAAGGTCAACAGATCGGGCGACAGAGAACAGTACCGCATGCATAAACGACATTATTATTATTTAAATAAATTATTTAAATGATTATAAGAAGTATAAACAAATAAACGAGAAATTATTTGTAACTGTAAAAAAATAAACAAGAAGTGCTTATATGGATTGTTTTTAATTTGTGAATAGGTTTGAAGGAATTTGATCGTGTGTTTTCTGCTGTTGTCATAATATGTTTGAAAGAAACGGTACTGTCTTTATTTATTTTACTCTTCCTTGCCCGACGGCAACATCAACCTCCTCTCTATCTTCAGATTTTTTAAAATTTCCAAGGTTTCATAATTAGCATAATTTAACAAAAAAATCCAAATTTTCAAACGTTCTTAACTGTCTCCGGGCTTTGAAATACATCTATGTTACACACAGTTCAAAAGAGTTATGTAAATTTACGTTAGTATGGCCCGTATTATTGGTGTCACTTTGCGGTGAATAAGAAGTGAAGTGACAACTTGTCGAGAGCTTGGAATTCCTACCCATTCCTTTCTTGACCTGCGTTCAGGCGCGGCTGGCGCTGGTATTGCCTAATTTGAGATCACCAGTTTTTACACATTGAGGATGATTGCTAGTCCCAAGCATCGTCTATTGGTTCTCTGTGTAATTACAGCTGATCTGGCAAGAACAGAGTAGCAACCGTGGGCGGTCAATCATGCTCATGCTCATGCAATAAGAAGTGGAGTGACAACTTGTCACTCACGGTGAAGTGACTTCGTTTTCACCGTCAAGTGACCCGTAATAAGGGCCTATGATGCACATAAAAGGAGCGTCATATAGGGGAAATTTCTCTAATGTTGGCCTATGGATCTAAGATTGGGCCCATCGCTAAAAATGTGCTAAATCGTTGATCATTAGCTGTTCAAGCAACATAGGACAATCTAGCGCTGTGGTGTATAGTCAAGCGGATCGCGCCACGGCAGCTGATGCAAAGCGTATTTAATTAAACTTCTCTGAACCAGTTCAATACGCAAGTCCTGACTGGTATGATACGGTGTCCATACGGGACAATCGTACTCCAGGATACTGCCGACAAGTGTGCAGTACAGTGCATTTAGTGTCGTCGAATTCCGTGTTTCGTCTGATGAATCCGAAGACCGCAAATGCTTTTGCTGTGATCATGGAAATGTGGTCATTGAAACGAAGTTTGCTATCTACAATCACTCCTAAGTCAAGGATTGAATATGTTTGTTCGAGAGCTACTCCGTTCATGTAGTACACGAGGTTTGACGGCGCGTAAATGAAACAACTTTACACTTACCGACATTGACCGACATCCCATTAACAATGCACCATCTATGTAGCTCATTGATGTCAGCAGTCTAATGTTGAAATAATAGTCCTAAAGATCTTCAAATCATCCGAGAATAACAATTTATCCGATTTCAGTCGAAAGCAGAGGTTGTTTATGAATATAATGAATATGAGAGGTCCAAGTATGCTGCCTTGAGGGACTCCTGCCGTTATATGGATTACTTGCGAGCGCGAGGATTCCAATTACACAAAAACATAACAGTTGCTTAGGGGCCAGTCGGTGATTCTAAGAGATAAACTAGCCTATGGCTAAAAATCTCTATAATAAAGAAAAAAAAAAAAAAGTCGGTGATCCAATTCGGGAATCCTAAACCAGCGCTACCCAACTTGCGGCCCGTGGGCTGGACGTGGTCTCTGGATCTCAGCAATGGCATCATTGTAGTCCAATTTTATTCATCATTATTAATTTCAGCTCAGCATGAATGAGAAAGAAACGAAATGCGTTAAACATGATACAGCCATTTGAAAAAGCAAGTTGCGGAAGGTTGGGTAGGCCTGTCCTAAACGATCTATTTTTTTGTTTACGAAGGAATGTGTTACCTTGTCAAATGCTTTTGCGAAATCTATATAAACTGCATCAACCTGAAGTAATGAAATTGGGTTGTTAGTGGAATGCTTAAATAAAACAGCAATAAAGGTTATCTTCCATTTAATTCCACTTAACAACAACCCAATTTCTTTACTTCATTATGATGGCTCCAGCTCCTTTGGACACTTCCAGATTTTTAGGGCAGACAGAACGTCATTCTCTGTTACGTTTAACACTGGAAAATTAAGTTCAAAAGTAGGGTCGCTTTGGAAAAAGTTGGCAGATTCTTCATGCTAGAAGTCTGAGATTTATATTGCATTTCACTAGGAATCCCTCCACTGCCTTTTCGACGTTTGTAAAGGACCAGAAAGCTGCTGGATTCTGTTTGAGATCGGATTGAACACGGTTCGCATACTGACGATAACAGAGAATTTGATGTTCATTGAAGAGATTTTCGATGCCTTCTCTCCTCTGATCGGCATCGAAGACACCGCTGCCTAGCTTTACCCAGAACATTTCGTTGATTACGCAGTTCAGCAATGCACTAGGGTTGCCTGTCGGAGACAGATGATCAACTTCTTCTACGAGGAACCAACTCGCTCAGTATATCGTGAAGTATATCATAGAATATAGTAAATGTCCTGTTCACGGGAACACTAGAGAGTTGCAAACTGCCTTGGCAACCTATGCCTAAATGATTTCTTGCAACACTGCCAATGCAATGAAGATAGGTGCTGCTCGATTGACTCTGGCTTTGACAGTTCGTTTGGCTCAAAACCAGCCAGTCCGCTCCTCTCTTATACTAGACCCTCTCTTGGGAACACCATTCAATAGATCGTTCCAGTCGATGGCAGAAATAGCATTGTTCAATCAAAGCAGTCAGCCTTATAGTCGCTATATTCTTAGTCTGGTGGATAGAATTTCGATCTATCAAAAATCGTAACCAATTCAATATATTTTAGACCAACAATTGAAAAGGTTCTATCAACTTTCATAAATAAAACGTTTATTATTCTTTCCTCGCCAATCGAACGCAAATTACCGGCATCATCGGATAGGGGAACTTTCCTCAACCCAAAGATGGTGTTAGGTTGCGTAGGCGAGCCTTGAGTCACGATAAAAGGGTTTCCGAAGTTTTGTTCGCAATAGCTGATGTGCTCTTTTCTGTTGATGGTCGTGATTTCCTCGATTGGTTCCGCTATTCGACAGCTCAATTGGTTCCCGAGATTCTATCTGCCAGACTATGAATTGTAAGACCACTTTTCGGCCCCGGAACCGCTGTGTCCCAGAAGGAGACCAGCCAAGACCCCAAACTACTGGTCTAGAGCCGACGGTAGCTTCCAGGGTGGGCACACAAAGCCACAAAGGTTCCGGGTCTCAGGGCGTTCGGGCGAGGGAGACCTTTCGGATGTGAGGAGACCTAGAAAAATGTGAATTTTGTTACCTTACGCTTTATTCGGCCAGTGATGACAATGGGGGAGGTGCAGAAATCGGGTGATGCTTAGATCTCGAACGTGGCTGAAGAATACCGAGGTTGGCAGCTCGGGCGGGATGACGGGCGGTAGTGCCGCTCTAGACGGTGATCGGGCGGTCGCCAGGAAGGAAATCAATTCTTGCAGCGTTGGTGGCAGTGATGGATGCGACGATGGTGGCGGTTATGGACCCAGCACTCAACCACACACGAAGTGACAAACGACTAACTGGCAAAGAAATCCATTTAAATAATGTGGTTCACTGTAATAGAATTTTCTTGGAAGCTTGTGCCATCATCCACCATATGGGTTAGTTTTTTTTTGTTTTGATTTGAACAAAGTTGATTTTGTGTACAATGATTCTTTGACAGTGTGCAACGAGTGTATCATTTTGTCATTTTTTTTTTTTTTTGCATTTTGCATTTCAGTTTTGAGTAGAGTGAAAGAGATATAACCAAAACATTCTAATACATTTGGTGAAAATGCTAGTACAATCCAGTAGTAGTGGTGTTGCCATGTGGTACACTGAAAAATTGAAATAGCAGGTTAGTCACCAAAGTTTTCGAGCCGCTCCGTCTGTCACTTCGTTTGTGGCTCAACTGCGCCTGTTCACTATTCGGCGTCGTCGACCGCCGACGCTGTACCATGAGTGATGATAGCTTGATGGATAGCGGACCAGGAGGGTGTGTTCTTGAACCGCCGGGAAGCCTGGCTACGGCGATGTGACCTTGGTTATGGGGTCGCCCGGAGAGAGCAGAGGCCGACGTTGTCCGATGGTGTGACGAGAGACTAGCGGACCGCGCTATGGCGCCGGTGGAAGGCCGGTGGGAGGGCGACCGACGAACGGGCAATCCGTGGAAGTAGAACCGGGGATGATCGCTGTACCTGGCCGGTACGTTTGCGGCTTGGCCTGGTAATAGCGGTGGTTGGCGGCCACAATGGTCGACTTGCTGCTGGATCTAACAGTCCGCGCTTTCACGGCAACGAGAGGCCAATCCTTGCTAGGCGCTTTGGTGACGACCCGACAAGCACAGTTGCTGGATAACTTTCGGTCCGATAACTCGGACCCGGAGATGATTAGACGGCCGTACTGATACCGGACACTTCACAAACCGCGTGGGTCGAAACAGGGGTCTTGATCCCGAAAACGTCTGTTTTAACTCCAAATTTCATTCGTCCTCGGCAGAGGCTCGCCACTTACTGATCCCGTCGCTCCCACGATCGTAGGTAGCGTAGAGCGCTATCAGCTACCTACTGCTATCAGACGGCACACGCGATCCACACCGTCGGGCGTTGATCGCCCCCACTTCAAATCGACCGTTAGCTACACTAACAATTTT